GGCCTCCTGGAACACAAAATGGCTGCTATCAACCATTAGAAGGTGGCACCAGCCCTCAGGATCAGGCCCGTCGGTCCTGCCAGGTTAGGCCGCAAAGCGAGCCCACAGGCAATACAAATTAACAGCTGGCAAATATCCAGGGCTCCTATCCGCAGCTGTGGAGAGCTCCATCAGTCTTGTGGCCAATCAGCATTGCCAGGGGAGCAAAGCTGCCCTCTGCAAGCCCTGCAGAGAAAGTGTGGGAAACAAGGCCGCCGGGACTAAAACAAGTCGAAAATAACCATGCTAGACCAGGAAGACCAGGGCGGACTGGCTCTGCCACTCGTAGCCTCCACGTCGCAGCGCTTCAAGTTTCAGGCAAATTCAGCCCTCACCCAGGCTGCAGGAGGCTGGCGATACCGTGGATGCTCAGGAAAAAGTCAGTGGCAAGAGAGTAAGCCCGCTCTATAGCTGACTGGCGCCAATCCACATTGGAGCAAGGAAGACCGCACCAAGGCTCAAGGAGGCTGGCGCGGCTCCTGTGGCTTCAGTCCAGGTGCTCCGAGGCAGCGGAGCCCAGCCGCAACAAACAGGAAATCCCCGCAAAGCAGCACCCCAAAACACCCAGTAAGGCAAGAAGGGGGATGGGGAGGGTGGGAGGCGCCAAAGAGGGCCACCCACCAGCTCAAATCCGTAGCCACGGAGAGCCCTCCCTAGCTGAACAGCAGGACAGGAAAGAAAAATAAAGACAAAAGAAAAGGGAAAAAAAAAAAAGTCCAGGGAATAAATTCAAAGCTCAGCTCAAAAGTTATGGAGCAAAGGAAAAAGGCGTCCATAAACTGAGACTGAGTTGAAAAGCTGAGGAATGTCACCAGGGAGGTGGAACCTCAAAAGATTCAACTCAGTCCATAGAGCTAAGCCTAGAATAACCCAGCCTGGCACCTCCCATTACCACACTATGGAGAAAAACTATGGCAAATCTAGACAGCATACTAAAAAGCAGAGACATCACCCTGACAACAAAAGTGTGTATAGTCAAGACTATGGTTTTCCCAGTTGCAATGTATGGCTGTGAAAGTTGGACCATAAGAAAGGCCAAGCGCCAAAGAATTGAGGCCTTTGAACTATGGTGCTGGATAGGACTCCTGAGAGTCTCCTGGACTGCAAGGAAATCAAACCAGTCAGTCCTACAGGAGATCAACCCTGACTGCTCTTTAGAAGGCCGGATCCTGAAGATGAAACTCTAATACTTTGGCTACCTAATGAGAAGGACTCACTGGATAAATTCAGGAATTGTATTTGACAGGAAAATGGAGAGGGGAAAAAGCCCCAGAGCATGAAAAGGAATGCAGAATGGTAGAATGTCTGCTAAAGGATGGACAAATTTTAAGATTTGCAAAGGTAGGTAGAAAGTGTTGAAAGGAATCTTTGTTAAAAGAAATAAATATGGTGTGATGGCGAACCTGTGGCACGCATGGCACATGTGCACCAGTAAGCTGCTCTCTTCCGGGTTTCAGCGCGCATGCACACACCGGAACTCAAAAAGAAGCAGCTGGCCGGTGGCAACAGAACCCAGAAGAGCAGTTGGCCGCCATGCACATGCGCACCAGAATTGGGTTCCAGATTTCGGCACGTACACATGTGCTCCAGTTTTGGCACTCAGTGCCGAAAAGGTTAACCATCACTGCACTAGAGAATGCTTCTGCCTACTTTGATACATGGAAGTGAGAACTCAATATTTCATGGAAAATATAAAAATAAGCTGAAGGTAGTTGGAATGAGGTACCTAAAAAGTGTGTAGTAAAATAATAAAATACAAATGGTGAAGAAATGTAGACTGAAAAGTGAGTGACCAATGCAAAAGTAATACTTCATTTTATCGTGTAGAAAGAATGAAGTATACTGGTAAAACAAACAAAAGTAAATGATTCTTGAGGAAGAATCTTTGCATAAAATTGTAATAGATTGATTTTTTTAAAAAAATTTGATTTATATGCCGCCCTTCTCCGGAGACTCAGGGCGGCTTACAATGCGTTAAGCAATAGCCTTCATACTTTTGTATATTTATACAAAGTCAGCTTATTGCCCCCACAAACTGGGTCCTCATTTCACCTACCTTAGAAAGGATGGAAGGCTGAGTCAACCTTGAGCCTTGGAGAGATTCGAACCAGCAGTAAATTGCAGGCAGCTGTGTTAATAACAGGGTGCTTAGACCAGTGTACCATCAAGGCTCTTGATTGATTATATTCTTTTAAAAAGTGTGAAGAGAAGTTTAAAGAACAAAAAGTAGGGTGTTAGGCAGTGTTTGAATATGATGGAAAGAAGGATGGTTAGTAAGGGCAGAAGGTATAAAAACAGTTAATGGTGTTGGAATAAACTAGCTTTAGCTATGTTTCCTTTTCTTTTCTATGTACTTTAAAGATTTTTCAAAATATAATAATGCAGTAAAAAAAAGGCCTTCCATATATTGAAGAATAATCCATTACACAAACGTTTTGTCTTAAATGGGAGGAAAATAAATGTGGCCTGCATGGCTGAAACCTTCTGAAATGCATCTGACCATAAGTTATGTGGAAAAATCAAGAAAGTATTTACATATTGTTTATTTTGAAATTCTGTTCATGATGTAGTTCTCACTAGTAATTTAAATGCAAATGTATGCTTAGATATACTAGTTTATGAAATTTAACATCAGCCAAAATCTATTTGCAGTTCTTATATTCTCTAACTAAAAGAGCAGAATGTTTTCTCTATTCATAACATTTTATTATACATGTAAAAGCTGTTCTTCTGTTCTTAATGTGTTTCGTCTGCACTGTTATTACACATATATTCTACATACAGCCTTCACATTTCAAGATTACACATTTCTAGTAATTCCTTCAAACTTAAATTCAGTTAAATCTTTTTATTAGGTATTGACACAAACATGAAACACTGTTGCAAACTTAAGTAGTGGTTTTTTCATAGTAGTTTTTATTGAACTAAGTTAACTTTTTATAGCTATTTCTTATGCACTAGCATATAAAGGAAAATAGAAAACTCTGCAAGCACCGTGTGTGTGTCTACATGCATGTGTCACCATTTCACTGTAGTCAATTACATTATATAAACTTTGCTAACAAAAAATGTCCACTTAACTGGAAGTAAATCTCAATGTAACAAGCTTTATTGCTAATTTATCGATCACCTAATTCATGAATTTCATCTTTTTTTCTAAACTGAAAAACTCTGCTGAAAAGTAAAACATTGCAATGTATTTAAAATATTTTGTAAGCTGTCTTCACTGATTTATGTACTGTTTCGTTCATGAAAAAAGCTGAAAATGAAGGCTCTTTTTATTAAAATTAAAAAGTGATGGTCAAATATTATCCCAAAATAAACAAGTCAATATAAAACTACAAATATTATGTATAGTATGTTAGCACTAAAATACAGCGATGATTTAAACATAATGGATTTTTTAAAAGAAAGTATTTTTCCTATTAATAATCAATCTGAAAATCAGTGAAGTAAATTTTTTTGCCTCTTTAAATTTATAACACAGAACTGAATCTGGAAAATTAGAGATATTGATAGAATCTTATTCAAATAATGGATGAGTATATTTATTAAAGCTGTATATTAAAAGCTTTCCCTAACCAAGTGGGACTTGGTTCTGAGTTATCATAGTTTATTGAACAACATATATAGTGTTCCACTTTGTTAAAATTCTGAAATTATTCACCGCAAAACTAGACATTAAACTCAGAGGATATCAAAACAGTTATTAAGGCTAAGTAGTCAATATAACATCAAAGTAAATGTACTGTAATTTACAGAATTGAAACAGAATTTTGGAAAAGGTAATTAAAATTTGCAAATAGCATTTGAAAATAGCCAGAAACATTTTCACCAAACTATATATATATTAAACTATTCTTGAAACTGTAAAACAGAGTACAAAGGGCTAGCAGCCTAGTTTATCTATATCCAGAATTGTCATATGACAGAATGTGCATGTTAACTGGCATAAAAAAATAACTAACATTGTATACATAATTACAAACCACTAACTATTTCTTTGCAGAAAACCTTATTTTATGGGTAATGAAATATCAGAATGCATGTAATAGGGGTAGGTTTTGTTTAAGGTTTATTAGCTGTACAGCACTAAATTCTATCTGCCCCCAAATATGGGTCTCAGTGTAAAAGCACCTCTTAATTTTTCTTCAAACACAGAACATGCAATACACAAGCATATTTACTGTTTCTAGAAAAGGCTATTGACTTAGCTATGGTTAAGTTTGTGAACCACCAGTTCTCTACAAGCCCTTGCAAAAATACAGTACAGGGAACATCAAATCACCATGTATAATTAAAAGAGAAAGACATTTCCATAACAGTATCTTGAAACCCGTTGTATCAATTTCAGCCAAAATGTTTGGAAATTAAAAGCATAAATCGACTGTTCTGCTTAAATTATGTTACTACTACTACTGGATACTTTTCTGAAAGGGCAGATGAAGATACTGCATGTGTTGGACAGGGAAAAGAGACGACATGGAAGAGATACTGTGGCCACAGCCTTCACTATCCTGAAAGCTACAAACATGGAGCACATGGACCAATAGAGGAGGAACAGCCAAGGGGAGTGTGATACTGCAGCAGTTACGGGAATAAATTCAGGTACACGGACGCCCCTATGGTAATGAACTTCTTTTGCCTAGGTCCCAGCTAAAGGAAGTCTCGGAAATCTCACAGAAAAGTTTGGAGCGGGGATGGGGAGGAGAGCTGGATACTTGCCTTTCCTCATTTACTATTTCTGTGCATGGGGAGGAGATGGGGCGGGCGGCACACGGAATCAACAGAGCCTCGACTCACAAAAGAGATAAGACAATCCCTAGTTGTCCCTTTTCTCTTCCTATCCACGATTGTTTGCAAAGCTTTTCCTGAATCTCTCTTGCCATTTTCATCTTTCCATCCAGTTACCTAGACCGGCTGCCGAGGTTCCCCAAGCATTGCACAGCAAAGAAACGTACCGAGCCAGCAACACTCGAAACTATTTCAAATAGTGCTGCAGAGCAGCTTCTTCCTAGCTGGACTTCTCGCCTACTCGAAACTCGTCTAGTCTCTTCAGAGCTGAGCTGTGGAGGCCGCCATTTTCACTCGAGCAGGGAAGTCAGCCATCATGCGCACGCGCAGACACCGCAGATCACGAGACAAATCAAACTCAGCTGATCGTTAGCTGCTTTCTCTCCCCCTCCAGTTTCCTGTTGCTCGGAATTCGCCTCCATTCTCACGTCGCTTCCCTTTTTCAAGGAATTGAAGCATGCGCAGAACGAGCAGCCGAAGGAAAGCGAAGGTCGACTGCTTCCTAATAGAAAAGGAGAGCCCACGTTCCTAAGGGCAAGTGGGGCAGTAGGGTAAAAATCGAATGGAAGGACGATTTTTTTACAGCTGTGGGATAGATCGCTTTTGGGGGAGGAAGGATAAACGGTGGCACGGTAGTTTTAGGATTGGTAGAGCGCCAAGTTTGTTTTTTAGGTTGGCCGAACAAGACTGGAAAATCATTTGAAAAAATGAGGGAATAGAATGAAAATTATGTAATTCTGATGATAGCCCTTTAAATTGGGTGTGTGGGGGGGGGGAGTCGAGCATTTCACTGCGAGGTGTAAGATATAAGACCCAAACATTTTAATCCTCACAATTCATAAACAAGTCTGGTTCACAAAATCAAAGATTTATTGGAGACAAAATGAAGAAAAATAAAAAGCGGTTGCAAGTGCTGCCTCTTAGACCCTTCCCAAATGGATTGAGTTCAAAGGGCGCAAAAAGCAGTTTTCAAGATACACATTTTATACTCCTACACAATGCATGCCAAGACCTCCCAACTCTCCTTTATTCTCCTAAGTCATTCTCCAAGTTATTTTACACTTTAAAAGGGTCATCTTGACATTTCCTGCCTAACAACAACTATCTTATCATGTTTACTTTTACTTTTCACCTTGAGCAGATGTTCCTTTCTTACTGATAGTGGTCTTGCCCAAGGCGTAGGTTCCTGTCTCCAAGGGAGCTTTTAGCAAGTCATAACACATTGTCTCTACTAATTACAATTTGTGGTCAGTTTACAACAGTAAGAACATCATAGCTTTTTAATACATTAAACACTTTTATAAAGAGTAACTTATTATTCATTTCCTCCAGAAGGTATATATTAGTGGTGAAATTTGAACCTGTTTGCTACCAGTTTGCTGGCTGTGCATGCATGCCACACGCCAAATGCGCACAGTGTGTGCATGTGCAGTGTGCACCAAAATGAGGCTTGGGAAGGTAAGTAGTAAAAAAAAGCTACCAGTTCAGTCAAACTGGTAGTTTAAAAAAGCTACTGGTTTGGGCAAACCGGTAGTTAGCTACCAGTTCGGTTGAATCGGCAGTTTAAAAAGCTACTGATTCGAGCAAACCAGTAGTTAAAAAAGCTCCTCCAAACCAGTATTTCCAACGATCACCTGTGCTGCAGGGTTTAGCTTCGCTAGAAAACAGGAAATCCTGCTTTCTAGTGAAGCTAAATCATGCACCACAACTGATTCTCCCCCCTTATTGTTCTACTTACCTTCCCAAGCCTCCTTTTGGTGTGTGTGCGCTTCCAATCTCCCCAAGAAAGCAGGACACTTGAAACTGCAGTTGTTCCAAAAGGAGCTTTTATTGAAAGGCTTGTGATAGCAAGAGGTCTAGGCAGGAACTAAATTTTCCCATTTAAAAAACAGCAATTTAAAGCAGTGCAAACAAAACCCCTTCCACAGTACAGCAATGCAGGAAACAGAAACTTCATATAGAGATCTCTCCAAACAAGAAATAGAAACAGAAACTTCAGGTAGAGGTCCCTTCAACCCTTCCCCCTCTCACCAGAATGCCACTGTCCCAATAGAAACATATGGGACCTGATATGCTGCCCCCCCCCCCTAGAAAAACGAGAAGTCCACCTGAAAGAAAACAAAAAGAGGGAAGGGGAGACAAACAAAACATAAAATCAGCGAGGTTTCTCAGGGTACAATTTAGGGGCATGCACATATTTTTTGTGAACCCATTCATTGTGTGAGAAGGGGACATGTTTCCTAGCCACCAGCAGAGGTGGTTGCTACCAGTTCGGACCGGTTCGGGAGAACCGTTAGTGGAAATTTGATGTACTTCCCCGAACCATTGGTGACCTTTGGCTGGCCACGCCCCCGAACCGGTCCCCGCTCATCCGACACTTGCCCGCCCCGCCCAGCAGAATCTAGCCCCATAATTCTGCTCACCGCTGCTGGCAAAGGTAAGGCCGAAGGGCATGGACCTGCAGGTGGGCGGGGGAGGGAGAGCTGGTAGAGGGGTGATACCAGCAGCGGATGGTGGACCAATGCGTGCGGGGAGGGAGGGGAGCGCACGGGAGATGACAGCACTGGAGCTCTTCCCGTGCGTTTCTCCCAGCTGGCCTGGCCTGAGTGGGAAGCATGCGGGAGATCCTAGCTGCAATTTACTCATAAACAACATTGGCCAGGAGAGGCAGGGAGAAAGGCCAATGGTGCTCACGAGTAAACTGAGGCTCCTAAGGGGGGGTTGAGCCTCCCCGCCCACAACATCTTCACCTGAGGGCATTGCTGGGAGCCACTTCCTGCATCTCCCATCCCGTACTCTTCCCACTGCTGCTTGACCTCCTCGATGTACGGAGACAGGAGGCGGCGGTTTCTTTCGCTGCCTGCGATCTGCTGCCTGTCTCTAATCTGCAGTTTACTCATGAGCATGATGCTCACCAGTAAACTGCAGATTACAGGAAGCCGGCAGATCGCTGGTTTACTCGCTCTGCTGCTTGCCTGGCAGATCACAGACTGTCAACTCTAGGTCGTCTCTCAGCCGTTGTGTGCAGGGAAAAACCTTGCAAAGTAAAGAAAAACTTCTCCTGAGTGTGAGAAGTTAATTGCCTCACACTCCCTGCACACAACAGCTGAGAGACGACCTGGAGCTGCCACTCTCCAGTAAAATGCGTGTCTTGCAGTGGGGCACAATTTGGGGTGGCAGGTGGGGCAGGGGATGGGGGGGAGTTCGGCAAGCTTTGCAGCTATGTGACTATACAGGTTGCTGTGCCGGCTCTCCACTCCCTGCCGGCCAGCACCTCCCGAAGCTGCCAGTTTTGCAAGCAACCACTGCGCTGGGACTGATAGAGGCAGCAGCAGCCCTTTCCTGTCTTTCTCCAGCTGGGTGGGAAAAAAGGAGGGGGACTTCACAAACAAAAGAGAATTCCCCCTTTTGGCACCGAAGCCAAAGCTAAAAGAAATTGGTGGGGAGAAAAAGAGGGAGGGTAAGAAGAGGGGAAGGGCAATTTTTTCGTTGTTTTAACTCTATAGCAACATCTTTCCCAGTTACTGCTTTCTCTGCTCAGCAGCAGAGCTTTTTTTTTTTTAAGATTAGTCCCCTTCTTCCCCGGAGAGCGAAGAGCAGGGGCAGGGAGAGAAAAAGAAGGTGGTACGGGATGGGGGGGGTGGGAGCGGGGGAGCGTCTTAGTCCCAGCCGGTTGCTGCTTCCTTGGGTCCACTCAACTTTTCAGTCCCGGAAAGCGGCTGAAAAATGCCCTCCTCCATGCACCATTTTCTGTCCTTGCCTCCTTCCCATTTTTATTTGGTTTTCCCTCCCATCCTGAAAGGAATTTCAAGCAAAAGGAAGCGGGGGGGGGAGGGGAAGGATCTGGGAGTGGGAAGGGAAGAGATTGGGAAGAATGAGAATGAAGAGGGCTTCCCAGCTCAGGAAAGGCTCGGAGTCCGGAATTCAGAGCGTGCCTTTCCCCTTTTCTCTTGCTGCGTTTTTATTTCCAAAGCACCCCCCCCCCTCCAGTCCACTCTCTTTCCCTAAAAATGGAGCTCTTGGTCCAAAGCGGGTGGTGTGTAATGAAAGCAAGATTTAAAGGAAACCAAGTTGAGCTAGTTTGTAAGGAAAACAAGTACTGTCAAGGTTCAGTGCAAGCCATACTAGCATTCCAAACTAATGAATCTTAATTTCTGGTTAAAATGGGTAGTACTTCCATTTAAAGAAGAAAAGCATAGTTCAGATAATTGCTATGATTTTTTGCTCCTATATTCTGTTGTTTAGGTATAAATTTTGTTAATGTAGAAATTTTACTTACAGCCTATTAAACAACAGAGCTAGTTGTCTGCCTGCAATCATGTGTATCTATTAGGAGTAAATCCCACTGAAAGAGAGTAGCCTTACTGCCAAGTAAACACACATAGGCTTTATGTAGTTGAGAGATAGGGTATCGATTAGTATCAGGTGTATTATAGAGAGAAATGAGAAGTTCTGTAACAACAGATACTTTGTGCCCAGGTCTGTGTGTGAGAGAGAGGGGGGAGGGAATGAGAGAGAGAGAGAGAGAGAAAGAAAGACAGAAAGAGAAAGAAAGAAGGAAGGAAGGAAGGAGGGAAGGAAGGAAGGAGAGAAATAGAAGAGAAAGAAAGGAAGGAAGAGAGAGAGAGAGAGAAAAAAAACCTCTGTGCTATTATTTTTAATTGTTCCATTATTTATCATGTGTTAATATTTTACACTGTCTCTACACCTAGAGTGATTTTACTGCCTTTCTTTTGCCCAGGGCTACCACATATTTTTCAGGGTTTTACATGCATTCAATGTCTATAGTCCAGAGCATAAATATGTGTGTGTTTATTTTGTACATCAGATTGCATAAGTCCATCTTAATATGCTATTCCTGGTATGTGATGTTTTGTATACATACAGAGAAAGAAGCACTCTTGTGATCTTTGACTTTTACGCTTGCTGTCAAACATCAGCCATAATACTAATTACTGTTTTGAACAATATACACGAATGGCTATTTTATATGTGAAATTATGACTGAAATATTTCTGCACCTATATTGGTTCTCACTGTCAGGAAGTTTCTCCTTAGTTTTAGGTTGTTCTCTCTTTGTTCAGTTTCCATCCATTGCTTCTTGTTTTGCCTTCTGGTGCTTTGGAAAATACATTGGCGCCCCCACCCCCTCCTTCTTTGTGGCAGCCCCTTAAAAGCCTGTTGCCTATCACACTTTTGGGCAAAGCATGTGAGCCATTTCCTCCTTTCAGTTGGCCATGCCTATCCAGTCACACTATCCTATCAAGCCACACCCATTGTCACATGACCATTAAGCCATGCCCACAAAATAAGCCACTCCCACAGAACTGGTAGTAAAAGA